TGTCCTTGCTCTGCGTCATCTGTATCATCATGTTGGTGCTGTTCAGGCCCAGATACGACATCAGCTTATCACAGCCGTACACAAAGATTGAGCCGAGCAGAAAGCCGCCGGCCACAGGCAGGAATGAGTAGACGCCATACAGATGCGAGCTCTCGGCCATTTCGATGGCCGGTCCAAGCAGCGACCAGAACGAGGCGGCGATCATGACGCCCGCCGCGAAGCCCAGCGCCGCATCCAATGAACGTCGCTGAGTGCCACGCACAAAGATGACCATCGCGGCACCAGCGGCCGTCAGGCCCCAGGTGAGCAGTGTGCCCAACAGGGCTTGCGTGACAGGTCCATAGCCAGCTATCATCTTGGCAGTCTGTCTGCTTAGGTTTCGCTCTTGGCTAAGTCGCTGGCGTTCTTATAATTTATGTACTCGTGTAAGCGTTATCGCGGTATCTGTTCGAGAGGAAACAAAAACAAGTTTTGATTGTTTCTTTTTTTTTAATTATTTCCCAAGCTACAGCAACAGACGCTGAAGACTCCGGGCAGAGGGGGCGGCAGGGCGCAAGTTTGTTTACTTGCTGCAAAGTGCCACGTTCCTAGTTGTTCTTCGCACTGATTCTGTTTTGTTGTTGCTTTTTCTGTTTTAGTTTTATTTTGGTTCCGTTTGACAATTGTGGCAAAACAAACAATATTTTCGATTTGTTTTGGCTCTCTCTTTCCCTTTGCTCGCAGCTGTACCGCTGCTGCTGCTGCTGAATGAATTACGGCTTTTGGACCCTGAGGGATCGGGGTTGTCACACTTGTTGCTTATCTATCGCGGATGCGTGCTTTAAGTGGAATTGTGTTTAGTTTATGGAATGTTGTACTATCGCGTAATACTGCTAGTTTAAAGTTTTATTCGTTGTGTTTCTGTTTTGCGACAATTGCTAATTGAGCGCGACCGACACTGAATGAGCCGCAGACTGAGGCTGTCGGCTGTGCTGTGGCAATTTTTATACAACGGCGGTGGTTGCTCTTGCTCTGCTCGCTGCCAGAACGGCGCAAGCGCAGTGAGCAGAGCCAGGGCTGCAATACCACGGGTCAGTGTTGCCACACCTGTTTGCGTTTAAATTCAAACGAAAACGTAAAACGCATTTAAATCAGCTAAAACATTGAAGTTTGTTTTATTTAGAGACATCAACATTCAAATACTGTTTTAAAATATGTTTCTTATATATAAAATTGCATTGAGAGAGCAGTCAAAACTAGTTTTCACCACATGCGGACTAAAGAGAGCGCCCACAAGAGATAATATCGCGCTAATATCAACAAATGACAGCGACGGCTGAGATATCACGTACATTATAAACAAATAAAACAGTGGTTTTTAGCTAAAAAGTGACTGACAGAAGCAGTTGCGAAAGCAGCAGACGCAGCAGCAGCAGTAGTCGCACCAGCAGTAGCAAAAACAAAGGTCTCTATTGCCTTATCAGTTGACGTTGACGCTTATTCCATGCCTCATTGCAGCGCGTGCGTTGCATGCAACCGGATTCCGAGCTCAATAAGCGGTCGCGCAAGCGCCAAGGCACGCCCACCAACACCAAGGACAAGGAGAAGGATACTCAAAAGCGATCGGCACTAACACCAACAACCACGCCAAAGGTAAGTCGTGATTTCTCTGCCCTTAACCAAGACGGATATATAGTTTTCTCATCCCAATCTTGCAGAATGACATCACGCGTTTCTTTAAGCCACTGAGCCAGACCAAGCACCTGGCCGAAGGCGAGCCCACAGAGTCGCCGGCTACCAACTTACTGAATAGGTACATTTGAATCGCATTTACTGTCAAAATTTCCATCTGAAATCATTTTTTATCAATTGGTTGTCCAAATTCTAAAATGTGTGCTTTTTCCTTCTTCTTTTTAACCACAGAATAACTAACGGCTCTTTCACGCCGCTCAAAACGCAAATCCAGGCAGTCGACATCGCCCCCCAAATGGACAAAACAAATAAAGTTGATTTAGATCGCATTGGAGATTACAGCATTGAAAAGCCAACGGCCCAGAAGAGCCTAGACTTCGGCGACGGAAAACGTGTCACCATGCGCAGGAGCAATTCCTTCACAGTGCAGCCAACTCAGGTATCGACACCGTTGCGCGCAAGTCGACGCCGGAGTTCAGCGTGCGAGCCCCTTACGGCAGAGCTTGACTCTTGTAAAGTGCATTCGGAGCCGCGTATGACACGGCGGCGCAGCAGCTTATTAAGCATGTCCCAAAAAACAAACATTGAAAAGGAAAAGGGGCTAGAGCCAACAGCAGTTGCGGCAGAGACCGAGCCACGCATGACACGTCGCCGCAGCTCCTTGCAGCTAGCTGCACCGCTGATTGCCGAAGCAATGCCTGAGCTGCCGGCGCAACCGGAACAGTCCATTGCACGTCGCCGCAGCGTCTCCACTATGGAACCCAGCACACCGAAGCTGTTGAAGAAACCCACATTTCAAGCCATCGCCGAGGAGCCATTGGTGGAGTCCGCAACTACCAGCTCGATGGACATGGGCACGCCTGTCGCTCAGGCCAAGACGCCGACGATTTTTAACAAAACCAATTATGTGCAACAAACGATGGAGATCTGCATGTCACGTGCTGTTATCATTGGCAGAGCAACTGAACGCCGCACGGTGTACACGACCCACCACATGGAGATAAGCGAAGTAAACGATGAGAACAGAAATCCCTACCTGGTGCAATCCATGGAGAATGTGACCACACAAACATCTCTGGACAGCTTCAATGAGCACACGCCGGTGCCGGTGTTCAGCTCAACCCGGCTGCCAGGCAGCGGCGGTAGCAGCTCCATTAATCGTCGACGCTCGCTGTTCAATGTGGACATGGAGCTTATTCATGAGCGCATCAATACGATAAATACAACTTCGCAAAGACGCTCGCTGGCCTTGGCTAATGAGGCCGAGTTGGGCGAGAGCCGTGCCTTGGCGCCACTGCAGGCAGTGGCATTGGATGCAATGAACAAGGAACCAAAATTGACTGAATCAAAAATGAGGCGTCTGTATACGCCAAACGAAGAAATAGCCGTTCTGCCATCATCATCATATTCGAGCGGTAAATCACGCCAAAGCATCGGCGGCACCAGCAACGCCTCAACCGACACAGTTAAGCGACGACGCACTTTGTCGGCTCTGAAGCCAACGGCAGCGGTTGATCCAACTGTGCAGAAAAGTGAGCCGGGCACTGAGGAATTTATGACACCGTGTGGATCAGAGACAACAATAGATAGTGCATCTGAGTCGCACGGCGATTGCGTCCGGTCGCCAAAAAAGCGTCGCACAGTCTTTACGATGGTGCACACCAATATGCACAGGGATCAGGTGCAGGTCATCCATAAGGTTGGTAATACGGCAACGCGGCATTAAACGACACACTTTTAGAGATATTGCATATAATTTTGTATATTGTATAGATGGGCTAGGCCTTGACTCTTCTGCTCGCTAGTTGGTAGTCTCGTCCCTATCCTATGCAAAGGTAGTTCAATTGTGATTATAAGGATAGAGAGATTTATTCGAATTCTTTAGTTTATAATCACAGTTGTGTCATTTGTAATAATTATGCCCTAGCTCATGAATTTCGTAATTATTGATAAAACATGGATAACCCAGAGTAGTCGTAAAATATTAATTTCTTGAGCTTTCACACGAATAAATTACACATTGATTATTAACAAACAAACAACAAAAAAATACAAAAATAAGCCAAATACAAAGTTAAGTTTGTATTTGTGTAGCCAATTAATGGTTTTGCCATTAATTATCCGATATCTTCCAATTGACCTTCTGTTTTGTGACACGCCATCTCAGGCCATACGCAAACTGCGTGGAATGCGCCTGGATCCAACGGTCACCAAGCGCACCACCCATCTGGTTAGCCTGGAGCCGCGTCGCACGCTAAATCTATTGCGTGGTTTGATGCGCGGCGTCTGGATTGTCAGCTACAAGTGGGTGCTCGAATCGATACGTGTCGGCAAGTGGGTGAACGAGGAGAAATATGAACTCACCTCATTTTCGCGAGCCGTTGAAGTGAGTTGGCCAAATATATTCATCAAAAATTAACATTGCTTTAATTTATCATACCCAATCCCTGCCAGATTTGCCGAACCGAACGTCAGGCCTTCGGCTTATCCTATCGTTGCGAACTATTTCGCTACATGGAGACCTTCTACGTGTCATCCCTGTGCCGACCCATAACATTCAATAATATTAAGGAGCTTTTGCTGCTGGGTGGCGCCAAGTTAACTGAGAATCGATATAAGGCCAAGTTTATTGTGGGCGATAAGCGACGCGCAGAGGACGATCGCATCTATTTGTCGCCCCTCTGGGTGCTAGATAGCATATCGGCAATGCAAATCCAAAAGTTTGGTAAATACTTGATGAAGTGCGCCATTGTGACACCCTATGGAATACGTTACGAGGATCCTTGTCAAGAAGAGGAGGAGAAACCACGACGGCATCTCAAGGTATGCTATAAAGATCCTGCTCTAGTGATTAATAAATAGGTGCCAGCAGCAATTTAAAATGGCTTTGCTCAACCATTTAAAGGATTATTCCAAAGACTTTTGACGAGGTGAACATTATTTGTTGCCAAATTTTCCATTCATGTCATCGTCGAGAACTACTCAATTAAAAAACGAGTCGAGTGTCCCAATTTGCAATTATATGATTTATTTCAAAACCTTTTGTATTTTTATTTAAATGAGGTATAGATCTGTTGTATAGTTCTGCAGTTCCTTGTACTTCTCGTCGTGTAGTTTGTACTTTCAAAAATGTTTGGCAGACAAAATGATAAAATCGAACTTAGCTGAAAAAACGAAAAATTCGCAACCCAAAATCATATGGAAACAGAATAAATACAAAATGTGTTTATTTTTGTTTGTAGAGTTATCTTTTTGCTTCTAGTATTGTTTTCTGTTTCTTGTTTCAAAATTAGTGTACAAAGTAGTTGTGCAAAAAAAAAAGGATAAGATATAGGAAAATCAAAACTTTAATTTTAACAAATACACAATATATAAATGCTATACGCCTGCGCTACTGCTACACAAATTATACGAACTATGAAATATGATATCATTATAAAATCAATTTAGTACAATATCATATATATATGTAGGTAAACTTAAGATCGAGGGTGTAAAGTTTTCGTATTCTGCGGCTGTTGCTCCTCCTCTCAATCGTCTAGGCGGCGATGGCGTTTAACATTCGTATCCGACGAAACTCTTTGCGATGGAAAAAATTAAACTTTTGCTTTTGCTGGAACATCATCTTATCATTCATCTTGCCCAGGACAGGTGTATGTGTTCTACTACTGTTGTGCTTATCATTGTTGCTGTTGTTGCTGCTGCTGTTGTTATTGCTGTTGCTGCTGAGTTGTGGCTGCTTCATCACGTTACTGTTGTTATTGTAGTTGATGTTATTGTTGTTGTTCTCGATGGAAACTTGCTACTTCTTGCCCTTGGTGGCCTTCTCGGCGGCCTTGGTGACCTTGCCACCAGAAGCATCCTTGAAGTTGACAGCCTTGATGACACCGACAGCGACAGTCTGTCTCATGTCACGCACAGCGAAACGTCCCAGAGGAGGGAACTCCTGGAAGGACTCAACGCACAGAGGCTTGGAGGGCACCAAGTTGACGATGGCGGCATCACCAGACTTGATGAACTTGGGGTTCTCCTCGGTGGTCTTGCCGGAACGACGGTCGACCTTCTCCTTGATCTCAGCGAACTTGCAAGCAATGTGAGCGGTGTGGCAATCCAACACTGGAGTGTAGCCGTTGGCAATCTGGCCAGGGTGGTTCAGCACGATGACCTGAGCGGTGAAATCGGCAGCACCTTTGGGGGGGCTGGCCTTTGAGTCACCGGCAACGTAGCCACGGCGCAGCTCCTTGACGGAGACGTTCTTAACGTTGAAACCAACATTGTCGCCGGGAACGGCCTCGGTGAGGGCTTCGTGGTGCATCTCCACGGACTTGACCTCAGTGGTGATGTTAGCTGGGGCGAAGACAACAACGCAGCCTGGCTTCAGGACACCAGTCTCAACACGACCGACGGGTACTGTTCCAATACCGCCAATTTTGTAGACATCCTGCAGGGGCAGACGCAGGGGCTTCTCAGTTGGGCGGGAGGGTGGCAGGATAGCATCGAGGGCTTCGATGAGGGTCTTGCCATCGGCGTTACCCTCCTTGCGCTCCACCTTCCATCCCTTGAACCAGGGCATGTTGGTCGATGGTTCCAACATGTTGTCGCCGTGCCATCCGGAGATGGGCACGAAGGCAACGGCCGCCGGGTTGTAGCCGATCTTCTTGATGTATGAAGACACCTCCTTCTTGATTTCCTCATAACGGGCCTCGCTGTATGGTGGCTCAGACGAATCCATCTTGTTGACGCCAACAATCAGCTGCTTGACACCCAGGGTGAAGGCAAGCAGGGCGTGCTCGCGAGTCTGACCGTTCTTGGAGATACCGGCCTCGAATTCACCAGTACCAGCAGCAACAATCAAGACAGCACAATCAGCCTGGGAGGTACCAGTGATCATGTTCTTGATGAAATCTCTGTGGCCAGGAGCATCAATGATAGTCACATAGTACTTAGCAGTCTCGAACTTCCACAGGGCGATATCAATGGTGATACCACGCTCACGCTCGGCCTTCAATTTATCCAAAACCCATGCGTACTTGAACGAGCCCTTGCCCATTTCCTGAGCCTCCTTCTCGAACTTCTCAATGGTACGCTTGTCGATACCACCGCACTTGTAGATCAAGTGACCGGTGGTGGTGGACTTGCCAGAGTCGACGTGTCCAATCACGACAATGTTGATGTGAATCTTTTCCTTACCCATCTTGCTTTATACGAGCTGTTGGGTTCGTTTGTTTGTGGGATTCGTAGCGTGCATCAGGTGTGTATTTGTGAGGGTGTATGTAAAATGGGTTCACACAGGTAGAACCAGCAATCGGGGGGGAAGAAACAGAAGGGTAAACAAAATTTGTTAGCAAAAAATAATTAACATGGGAACAAATATTAGTAAATTGAGTACATAGAAATTCTTAAAATGGACTAAAATTCATTTTTTGCCAACGCTCATAAATTTTGACTCTAGTTCGCATGCAAGCGATTCAACCTAACCTCAAAACGAAACGTGTTTGCGTTCGCATTTTCCACACTTCGGCATCGCGAGCGCACTCTGCTTTGAGGTTAGGTTTAACCGCAGCCGCATGTCGCGGTGGTGGAAGTGTGTGTAACAAAGGCAGAAACGAAACTGGCAACAAAAAGGAACGTGCAAAGAAAAAAAAGAATTATACAAAAAGGTCCAATTTGTAACTAGTATTATACACTCGATTTTTCAGTGATTTTGGTATTTTTGCTTTCGTCAAAATTCTTCAGTAGCAGAACTGAATAAATATCATCATTTTAAATCGAGAACTAGAATTTAAATGAAATTCAATATGTATACATGTCATTCATACACATATACATATTCAATATACATATACGTGCAAAGAAATTTCCAGCAATTCTAATCTAGCCATGTGGCTGTGTGTATGTATGTGTGTGTGCATGACGCTGTTGCCGGCTGCTTTAGTGGCGCAAGTGAGTGAGCGAGAAAGCAAAGAAAAATGGCGACCGGGCAGTACGAACAAAGGCAGACGATCAAGCAGTGGTTAGGCTGCGCGATAGAGGAGCAGCGATCGAAGAACTAAAGTGCATTGCGGACTGCCGGCCATCTTGGCCTAGAGTGTATGCCAAGATAACATTATTCATATGTGCTGGTATGGTGACATTTCTGATTTCGCAATATCGAATAAAATCAATTCGCATACATAAGCAATGCCGGTGAGGGCACCGATTGACTTTTTGTTATTGCAAGCACTTTTACTCAGTCACACCATCGCTTTGTGAGCCGCCATCTTGAAATTCTATGCCCATACGTATAGAGAAAGGCGGAAAATTTCGCGCATGCAAAAAAAACCACGTTTGCTGGTATAATTGTGCAACTTTCTAGCATTTTCATCTGGTTAAATAAATTTTTATTTGAGCATTTTTTTCCGATACAAATTGACTTGTGTGCGCTCTAATTAGCCGTAGCTAATAATGGACCATTCACATGTGCCACACACATGTGGGCGTGGCATCCTCAGCAATTACACCATATTGCAGAAAATGTAGTGACTCATTTGAACAATCAAATACTATAAACAATTTAGCAATGGTGAAATTTTAATTGTGCTGCCACGTGTTTGCGCATCGGTCATCGTCACCACCTTTCACTTTGCGCCGTCTTATAGGTTAACTTTAGAGTGCACAGATACACATACACATCACATTTTAACAAATATGCACATTTGTAAAGTTCAATTGCATATTTGTTTATAAACTATTTGTTTGCTGCACTAGGCTAGTTCGTTGCACATATTTGATTTAAATAGGTATGCACCTAAATTTCTTTTCACTTGGTAACAGAACTTACTCTCGAATAAATTGAATGAGAAATCACAAAGTCTATGCTATTCCGGCGACAGACTTGAACAAAGTGAACGAGCGTTCGGCGTAACAGGAAGCTTGTAGCCTCGTTTCTGCAAGCGTGGCGTTACAGAGTTGCACCGCGAGTATCGAGAGCATAGCATACAGTGTGGCCGTTTTACGCGATTTTGTTGTTCTATTGCAAATATTCATGTTAAATGGTGGAGTGGTCTATGTTAAAGTGCGCAGTCACTCCCCCAACAGTGTTATAAAATGTCAATGACGTGGCTTAACCCATCAAAACGAATCCAATTCTCGTAAAGCATTTGACCGGCCTGGACGTACATTTTCATAGCAGGCGGTTCAGAGACAGTATTCAAAATATACATATATATAGACATATATATATATTTCTGATTTTAAATAATAAGTAAAGTGAAAAACAAAATAACGAAATGTTGCGCTTAGTAGCTGCAGTGCTTATATACGGTTTTATTGCAACTGTTGCCGGCGCCGAACATGATGTGCTGGAACTCGGTGACGACAATTTCGTATCCACTTTGAAGCAGCATGAGACGACATTGGTTATGTTCTATGCACCCTGGTAAGTGGGCTGTGGGCGTGGTCGTTTACATTTGTCGCATCATAATTGTTAATATATAAGTGCACTTGTGTCGCAATTAATCGAATTAAAAGTACACGTCAGCGCTGCCGTGCGAAGAAAGGGCACGTATCGGGATTGACATGTCACAGTCGGCCATTTTAGTAGAAACTTGCTACATGTACATATGTGTGTGCAAATAGAAGCTTTTTATGTGTGTGGGGGCTGATAAAGTAAGCTGTAAACTTGCCTGCCTTATGCATGTACATTTGTATGTACACATGTATGTATGCATGTGTGTTTGTGGTTTGGTATTTGTGTAGACAAAGAAGAAAGCAAGTCTTCCAGCTTCAAATGCCGGCCGGGCCAACCACATCTCAAGCGAACCTTATCAGCTGGAGCATAAGCACAGAACAAGCTAATTAATTGAGTCGCTTGTTTGTTGTACGATAAGACACATTAAATGTACGCTATTAAAAGGCGCAACTAGTTTTCTAATTATTGCCTGTAGGTACGCGACATTTCGAAAACTATGAAGATATACTCATCAGCATTAAGAGCCGGGCGATAAAGCTGCGTCCGTAAAGCAAGCACAGTCTTTGCAACAAATATAAAGCAAATATCCTATATGTATATCTTTAAGGGTATTTAAACTTCATTAATTTTTGGGAACTTGTGTGTTGATAAACAGCGACAATTAAATTATTTGGAGAACTATGTGAAGTGTCTCAAAACATATATATTAATTTTGTAGGTGCGGACACTGCAAGCGCTTAAAGCCCGAATATGCCAAAGCGGCTGAGCTAGTTAAGGATGACGATCCCCCAATCAAATTGGCCAAGGTAAACTAAATGAAAATTCAAGTCAGTTAATGCGCCCACTACAAACTCATATTTTTGTGAAACAGGTTGATTGTACCGAAGCTGGCAAGGAGATTTGTAATAAATTCTCGGTCAGCGGATATCCCACGCTGAAAATTTTCCGCCAGGATGAGGTGTCGCAGGATTACAATGGACCACGCGAGGCCAATGGCATTGCCAAGTACATGCGCGCCCAGGTGGGACCCGCCTCCAAGCAGGTGCGCAGCATTGAGGAGCTCGCTAAATTCCTGGACACCAAGGATACCACAATCTTTGGATACTTTAAGGATATTGACTCTCAATTGGCTAAGACCTTCCTGAAGTTTGCCGACAAGAACCGCGAGAAATATCGCTTTGGACACAGCGACAACGAGGCCGTGCTGAAGCAACAAGGCGAAACGTAAGTGAGGGACGAGTGCATGCGCAAGAATCGAGATGGGGTAGTTGGATATGAGATATCCATGCATATATAACTCATAACTATATATATTTCTTAAGTTTAATAAATAGTTTGTAATGTCTTGTTTTATACATTGCAATTCGAATCATATTGCAATTTCCAAGCCAGATTTTATAGTTTCCTAAGTTCTAAAACATGGAGTATTGTATTTTAGTTGTTTAAGTAGATGAAATCCAATTAATCGCAAACAATTTATCTTCCATACAGAGATAAGATTGTGCTGATACGTGCCCCACACTTGAGCAACAAATTCGAGTCTTCCACTATTAAGTTTGAGGGCAGCTCTGAGTCCGATCTGAGCACTTTCATAAAGGACAATTTGTAAGTTACACTAATTAACTCCGTTTACTGTTCGGTTAGCTAATGTTAATTTTTGCAGCCATGGCTTGGTTGGTCATCGCACCCAGGACACATCGCGCGATTTCCAGAATCCTCTGATCACTGCTTACTATAGCGTTGATTACCAGAAGAACCCCAAGGGCACCAATTACTGGCGCAATCGTGTGCTTAAGGTAGCCAAGGAGTTTGTCGGCCAGATAAACTTTGCCATCAGTTCCAAGGATGATTTCCAGCATGAATTGAACGAGTATGGTTACGATTTTGTTGGTGACAAGCCCGTCATTTTGGCTCGCGACGCCAAGAATCTCAAGTATGCGTTGAAGGAGGAGTTCTCCGTGGACAGTCTGAAAGACTTTGTTGAGAAGTTGCTGGACAATGAGCTGGAGCCGTACATCAAGAGTGAACCGATTCCAGAATCCAACGATACGCCTGTTAAGGTTGCCGTGGCCAAGAACTTTGATGAGGTGGTTATTAACAATGGCAAGGATACGCTGGTCGAGTTCTATGCCCCCTGGTGCGGTCACTGCAAAAAACTGACCCCTATTTACGAGGAGCTGGCTGAGAAGCTGCAGAACGAAGAGGTGGCCATTGTCAAAATGGATGCCACTGCCAACGATGTACCGCCAGAGTTCAATGTGCGCGGTTTCCCCACGCTCTTCTGGCTGCCAAAGGATTCGAAGAACAAGCCCGTCAGTTACAATGGCGGTCGCGAAATCGATGATTTTATCAAGTACATTGCCAAGGAGGCGACCACAGAACTGAAGGGCTACGACCGCAGCGGCAAGCCCAAGAAGACCGAGCTGTAGACGCCAACTCGCCGTCTGCGTACATCTAAATTAGCGTGTAACTCAAGTAGCATTTCCATATTTTTGTAAAATCGAATGCATTCTCAGCCAACAGCCAACCGCAAAAGCAACAAAAAAAAACACATGTGTATTAAATTATTTAATAGTGTGATGATTTCTTGAAATTCAATTAATACTGTCAATAAACGTAATAACTACTTTCATCTTATTAACATATTGTATATACACATAAATATTGTTATACACTTAAATTTTATATCGAACTTGTGCATTCAGATGGTCCATGTGTTCCTCCATCAGAATCCGAAACCAGTCGGGTATAAACGAATGTTCATTACGCTCCTTACAGTATTTGTAGGTGATATTTCCATTCTTTGAATCGTATTCCAACAGATAAACCGTGCTGGCGCTGTCCACCTTTGCCAACAGCAACTGGATTGAGCCTAGAAAACGTCGCAGAAAATTGCCACATATATTTGGCGACCAATCGTTATCCTGTAAGTACTTCGTTATAAATTTATTGATAAAGCTTTAAATGATTTCGACTACTCACGCACTCCCGCCACAGCTCGCGAACCATTGTGTGTTTAATCTTTTGCACGTAGCCTTCCTTATCATGGTAAGCAATGTAAACCTTCTCAATGCCAACTAGAAAGGATTCGACCCACCATTTGAGAACTTCGTTGCGATTATGGGCTGACCATTCGGCACGGCTCATCGTATCCAGGCGCATCCTTAAATCCACAAACGTTTTGGACAATCCAATGCTATGAAGAACAAGCACATTTATTATTGAGCGGCCGTTTTACAAGGGTATGTGTACTTACAATGGATTTGGACAATGCTCAGCCAAAATGGGTGCATCGAAAAGCACATGTAAGCCACATATATCCATACTAAACACACAATAGTATTGTCCATCCAGCTTCTTCTGCTGATAAGAACCAGGCTGGACAATGTCGTCATCTGAAATTTGAGCTATATAGGGCGTATCATTACGCAACAGCCGGGTTCAAATAGTTACCCATTGCTACCAGACAGCGCTGCCGCAGTTTTGTCATCCAATGGTCCATCATTAGTTTCTTTAAATGCTCGGGATCAAAGAACGATTGTGGTCTTTCCGAATCGGGCACTGGACATATGTATATGGTGTTGCGATACTTGCTTACGGCAATTGTCCAATTATTCTTGTATTCATACGGTGCGCACATTATTAGCTGTAATGTTTCCCGGCTGCACACAATATCCGCGTCCACCTGCAGATGTCCGTTTTCGTGGCGTTTAATAAGTGTTTCTATTGAACAACGCAAGAAGCAGAACATATTATCCAAGTATCTTGGCTTTAAAAAGGATTGCTCCGTATTTATAGACTCCCCGCTTGCGTTTGAAGAAAACGGAAATGTGTTTGGTCCCAGTTGGGTTAGAAAACAGAGTCGTGCAGGCGAATCTTCGTAATGCCCCTCAGGTGATAAACTGTATTCGCCAGCACGATGTGGCTGTTTAATAGTGGGAAACGATTCCTTATCTTGCGGCGGTGATGAGCGTGCATTAAGATTTAAAATTTTATAATTTGAATACATTTTAGCACTGTTAAAGCGAAATTTTCGAATGTAAAATTTTATGTCGTTCGTTATTTTGAATGGTGCGCGAAAAACAGTTAGATGCCTTGCTCTTCTTCTACGCTTAACATTCGCCACGAAAATGTAAACAAACTGTTGCGCGGGCATCTGAATGTATTTTTGTATATTTAGTATTTTCGACGGCTGCGGTCACACTTCAACCGGGCATTGCATTGCACGTGTTTTAAAGTTTCGCATTGTTAATACGTCCGCTTAGATATTGTGCTTTAAAATAAAGTTTTAATGCAAGCCAAGACGTAGTTATGGACGTGAATATTAACAAGCTGCGTCGTGGTGTACAAAAACTCTTACAGCTAACCGCCAGTGAGCCGCAGGACGATGTGTTTATATTAAATTTGCAGAAGTTCCTCAAGAAGAAAGTGAGTTGATCAAAATTTCAAGCAATAAGAAAATCCCTCAATATCATGTAATTTTATGAAAGCTCTACGTGGAGAAAGATGTGGACCGATTGCTTAACAGTCTAAGCCAGCAACTTACGCTGCCTGGGTACACCCTGCCCCTAGCCTTGAGCTTTGAGGAGCACCTACTGCTCCTGCTGACCAATTCGCTGCGCTGTGATGCAGCCACTCAGGCGCAACAATACAAATTGGAATGCATTGCTTTGTCCAGGTTGTTGCAGATTTCAGTTGCCGCAAAAAGGTGAGTTGCTGCCCAATAAGCTAAACCAGCATAACAGTTTTTTATGCCACACCCAGATTTGCTAAGAGCTACTTTCGTAATAAGCCAGCGCCATTCGAGGAGACTCAGAGCAATGAAAGCATGCAGATACCCAGTAAAAAGACCAAAAAGACAATTACAAATGGTTCTAAGGAATCGAAAGATCAGCAACTGGATTTGGAGATCGTCAAGTGCTGCTACCACCTGTTGAAAAGTGACGCAGTTTACTATCGGGAGCTCTGGGACTGGTCACAGTTCCTGGCAAACTATACGCACAAACAACTTGAATGTCGGTTGTCGCAGCTGTACTGCAATCACATCTTGGCCCTGCTGACAGATATGACCACAACACAGTTGCAGGCGCTGAACTCGTCTGTACCCGTCCAAGTGCAGCTGCGGTTCGAGGAACAGGAGACGCTGCCGACATACACCAAATGTACCTATTTACCAGATCTGCCGGAGCAACAGCTCACGCTGAAGCTGTCGCAGGCCAACCAAACCGTAACCAATATCGAAGGTGTGCTCCTGCCCATCTTCAACCAGGACAATCAGGAATTCTATAGAGAAAACGATGGGTGTTACGATCGCATTGTCATAGTAGACTCGACCAGTGTAAATCTGCGTAGCATAGCACTGGGCGTGGCTGCTGCAAAACCAATTTGCCTCTCCGGTCCCGTTGGTTGCGGCAAAACCACTTTAATAGAGTATCTGGCGCGCAAGACGGGACGCATTTGCCCCAAGCCAAAGGAGATTGAAACACGTGAACAAGCGCTGCGGCAAGCGCAAGAAGAGGATGAATTACTCAAACCGAAAAAGAAACCAAAAGCGCTGAAGAATGCGGGCGAGAAGCGCAAAATTGCCGAGGTTCCACTGGAGGAGCTTATGGTGGTGGAAGATGGAGATGGGCTGGCGCAGAGGAATGGTTTCTTACGCATACAGCTGGGTGATCAGACCGACAGTAAAATGCTATTGGGTCAATATCGTTGCACAGATGTGCCCGGCGAGTTTGTTTGGCTGCCCGGCGTGCTGACACGGGTAAGCATAATATATCTTGTCTTGTTTGACCCCAAAGTCGTCCTGTTAGTATTAAAATATATTAATAAACAGGCTGTCATGCATGGCTACTGGCTGCTATTGGAGGATCTAGACGCTACCACGCAGGATACCTATACAATCTTGAGCAGCCTCTTGGAGCGCAACTATCTGAGCGTGCCTGGCTTTAGGGATTGCGTCAAGATTGAGCCTGGCTTTCAGCTGTTTTTTACTGTGCGGTAAGTTGGCCAACTCTGCAGCTTGGAGTTTTTAACCATTATACTAAATTCTCTATGACAGCACCAACAAGTCGTCTAGCAACTCTAGCCAGAAATCTTTGTACTCTCTGCTGGAGAAATATCTATATACCATCAACATATTGCCGCTGTCCCGCAACGAACTATGCAAGGTCGTGAGCACAAATTATGCCAAATTGGCGACCGTTGCCAATCGCATTGTCGATGTCTTTTTAACCTTCTCCAGTGGCAATCACACGGCTGCCGATAATTTGCGCCAACAGGAGAGCAGCGACAAGGCAGATACCAAGGAGAATTATGTAGCGCTCCCCTTCGAACAGGTGACACTCTCCAGCATGCCCAATTCGGGTCGTCTGGTATCCACGCGGGATCTAATCAAGCTGTGCCAACGCGCAAATGCTCAGTTCTCGGTGACCAGCGCCGAGTGCGCTTACTTTGTCTTCCAAAATGCCGTCGATGTTTTTTGTTCGTATCTGCCGCAGAGCAAGGAGAAGACAACTTTGATTACGAACATTGGCGCCAAGTTGGGCATCATCAGATCTCGCTGTGAACATTTCGCCAATGAATACAAACCCGATGTGGAGTTTGGCAAGGAAAGCTTTAAGATTGGGCGCGCAACGCTGCCGACAATAAAAGCAGAGGAGGAGCCAAACACTGAAAGCCAAAGCGGATCGAAGAGACAAAAACTAACAATGCAATCCACAAAGACAATCTTTAAGCAAACACCGAAGCGTGCCACCTTCTCGTTTACGCGCCTGGCCAGCTGCATAATGGAACGCATTGCGGTCTGTGTCAGTCATTCGGAGCCGGTGCTGCTGGTGGGCGAAACGGGTGTGGGCAAAACGTCGTCGGTGCAGTTTCTCGCAGAGCGCACAGACCATAAACTGGTGGCCATCAATATGAATAATCAATCAGATGTCTCGGATCTAGTGGGCGGCTTTAAGCCCGTCGAGCTGAACTATGTGCTCGCTCCGCTGCGCTATGAGTTTGAGCATCTGTTTCGGCACACCTTCAATTCCGATAAGAATCTGCAGTTTCTGCGCATCTTCGCCACCCACTTTAACAATGGACGCCACAGCGTCATCATACGCACCATCTTGAGTGTGACGAATAGCTTGTTTAGCAAGCCGGAGCACAGGTCGAATCCTTTGCTGCCACGCTGGCAAACGCTGCACGAGAAGCTGCAGCGTCTGCAAATGCAGCTGGACAAGAGCATAAATATATCGTTTGCCTTTATACCCGGCTCTCTGGTCAATAGCATCAGCAATGGAGATTGGGTGCTGCTGGATGAAATCAATTTGGCCTCGGCTGAGACACTGGAGTGCCTGTCCACCATATTGGAGCCGGAGGGTTCGGTGGTGCTGCTGGAACGTGGCGATTTTATGCCCGTGAAGCGACATCCCGATTTTCGCATATTTGCATGCATGAATCCCAATACGGATATTGGCAAGAAGGATTTGCCCGTGGGCATACGCAATCGCTTTACCGAATTCTTTGTGGATGAACTGACCACTGATGCGGACTTGGGTTTGCTGGTTGGTGATTACCTGGCCAATACAGGCATACAGCGCAAATCGGTGCACAGCATTGTGAAGCTATACAAATCTCTGCGCCGTCTCTCCGAGCTGCAGCTTAATGATGGCCTCGGCAACCGGCCCGTCTACTCGCTGCGCACACTCTGCCGCAGTCTGCGCATATGCGCCCGGAATTTGTGCGGCTCGATTGAGCGTAATCTGTACGAAAGCTTCTGTTTGAGTTTTCTCACACAATTGGATCCGGAATCGCATCAGCTGGTGCTGCTGCTCATACGCGATGCACTGCTGCAAAATCCCAAGGCTGTGCTAAATATGTCGCTGCCTCAGCTGGGCGAGAATTATCTGCAATTCGAGGGCTATTGGATACAGCGCGGCAGTCTGGAGCCGCAGTCCTGCGAGCATTACATATTAACTGACAGCGTTAAGAAGAATCTGCAGGATCTGGCGCGCATCATATCCATTGGCAAGCTGCCCATTCTGCTGCAGGGACCCACCAGCGCGGGCAAGACGAGTCTCATTGACTATGTCGCCCGGCGCAGCGGCAATCGCTGTCTGCGCATCAACAATCATGAGCACACGGATCTGCAGGAATACATTGGCACCTATGCGGCCGATCTTAGCGGCAAGCTGAGCTTCCGCGAGGGCGTCCTGGTGCAGGCCATGCGTCATGGTTATTGGATAATTTTAGATGAACTTAACCTGGCCTCTACGGACATTCTGGAGGCGCTTAATCGTGTGCTGGACGACAATCGTGAGCTGTATATAGCCGAGACGCAGACGCTGGTCAAAGCGCATCCCAATTTCATGCTCTTTGCCACACAGAATCCGCCGGGTCTTTATGGCGGACGCAAGACGCTGTCGCGCGCCTTTAAGAATCGATTCATTGAACTGCACTTTGCGGATATACCACGAGCGGAGCTAGAAATTATATTGGAGCAACGCTGCCTTATACCCGCCTCCTATGCGCGCAAGATGGTCCAGTGCATGATGCAGTTGCAGCAGCATCGCAGGAATACCTCAAAGCAGGTGTTTACGCTGCGCGATCTCTTCCGCTGGGGCAATCGGTATACGCTGGCGGACAAAGCACTGC